ATATATGCATACACACTCATACATGCATCCATGCATACACAACGCAATCTGCGATGTAATATTTTACGTATCCGGTTGCATTAAATAAAAAAGACGCAAGAATTAGGAAATCACACGCATAAACCTGTTTTCGGCAGACAGAGAATAACGACCTTTTATAGACTTTCCCCATACGTATACTGTTTCACGCGGATCATACACAAAAGAAAATAACCTACTTTTTTTATAATAATGCTGGCGTATATTTAATGAAGACTTATTGTTGTATGCATTCTAGCAGCAAGTAACAATGTTCATTGTTCATGTGGTGGAGTGAGAAAGAGAAAAAAGCAAGCGGAAGAAAGAAAGTACGTTTTCGAGATGTATCAGCCCAAGATTAATTAATTGTATCTTGCTTGCTTTTTTTTAAGTAAAGAACCCAGAAGAATAGTCTTTAGATCATGGGACTGTAACGCCGATGTGATAAGAACGCGACAAGAATATCTTTTATCAAATAAATTAAACTTAATTAGGCCTTTGATCCTAGACTATTACAATATCGATATGATATCTTATCAGTTTCGTCTTTCGCTTATAGTCACATGATTCGAATAAGCACAGACCAAAGAAACCGCAAGAAATAATTCTAGAAGAATCGAAACGTTATTGTAGATCTTCATTTTCCAAAAAAATATTCGGTTACTATTGATCTGTTAAAGATGATTTCCGCCACGTTGCAACGGAATTATTTTCTCACCCTAATAACAACAATAAAACTACAACTTTATCCGTTTGCTTGCAACAAACAAACAAAATGGCATCATATGACATTTGTTTTGGTGAATAAATGACAAGAACTGACAGACGCCTTCTCCCAAAGAACGGATGAAACCTTGCACAAACCCTATTATTTGTAAAGAAAAGAAAAAGGCGACAGAGTTTGGCCAGAAATGCAATTTTATATTTTGGTATTTCTTTTGTTCTTTTCTATTGGGGTTACACCCAGCCCATGTTGATAGTTTTCTGCCCACGCCAACAACTATTTAGAGTATTACATACACATTTGACACATAAATAAAATAGATACTACGCTAATCAAAAAAGCAATGAAACCGTTATAACGGCCATAAACACGAATTTTTAAACTTTAATCGCATCATCATTATTGACGGATTTTGATCCATTGCATTACATTCTTACATAATAGTCGCCATTATTGTTATTATTAACAAATAAAATAATAATAATATTAATAATAATAATAATAATAACAATAATAATAATAATAATAATAACAATAATAATAACAGCAACAACAATATTGACACGAATATTAGAAGTTCTAATTTGACGCACAAGACTCGCCACGTTTAACGATGAATTAATCTAAAGTTTTTTTTTTTTGCGAAAAAAGAATAGGATAATAACAGCCTCCTTGTCATTTTTTCCTACCACCTCGCTTGTTTACGTGGTACGATAGTGTATAATATCGCTGTCAAATAGATAATATAATCAGTCAACAACAAACCGTCCGTTCCTTTGGGCTCTTATGTTGTGATCAAGATGTTTTCCAGTACACAATCAAGAAATTAATTATATTTTAGAGTGGCGGTTTGTTTGTCCAACTTTTTTCAAGAAAACAAATAAGCGATCAATTCTTCGTGAACATCATTCATCGTCGTTTATTCATTCATTCGGGCAATATTTTCGTTTGGGCGGAAATACAAGTTTGAGAAAATGTAAGCCGAATTCGCACACTTTCCAACAATATTTATTTGCAGTATGCATTCTATTTGTTTACATTTAAATTCAAGCATTGTCGGTGTATATCGCGCCAGGTTAGCTGGGGTACAATAGATCAGCACGTACATTATTTGAATTTCCTGATACAAAATGGATCAAACCAGATATTATTGTATTTTCGCGTAAATATATTTATTATTGAGATAAATAAAATCAACAATAGTGCAAGATAATGCTGACTTTGTTTTTCTAACAAAAACAATTGTCGTGTTACTACAATAGATGAAAGAATTTGGTCTTGTTACTTTTATTGGTAGTGTGGTTTAGCGATGAACCTGGCGCCTAATTGTTTCTCGTTTTTCTTTGCCTAAAGAAAAATATCCTCATCATCGTGTTCTTTGGTTATTGTTCTCGTTTTTTTACGTACAATCGAAAAAAAATGGAAAATTTAAATTAGTTTTCTCACGCTCTTTGAATTCATCGTCGTCATCATTACTGTCCACTCATTTCATTATTGGTTAGGTGGAAGTGATATTGGGAAGATCAATAATAGAATCTGCAAAGCCAACATCATACTTTTTCCATTATACGATCTCTTCAAAGCTGCACACGTTTATAATGATGATGATGATGATGAGTAAAAGTTACGAACTAACTTGATACATACAAACAAATCGTTCGTTTTTACCTTTTTTGCGACGAATTCGAATTTCCCCATCATTACCATAAATTTTTAAGCAATAATGGGAGGAATTCCTTTATCATAATGACAATCATAAATAAACTTTCTCCTTTTCTGTAGCGTGTATTTGACGTTTATTTTTAGTTAGGATTTTTTTGGTAAGTGAAATTTTTTTGGATCCACGAGACCCAACGTACGATATTCGAGCACGTAATAGGCAAAAAACAACAGCAAGAAACTTTTGTCTAATGATAAAAAACAAACAAAACCAAGAATCCAAAACATTTTGTAAAAGAGTTATTAATTATAATTAGAATAGGCTGATAAATTGAAATAAAAACTTTAAAATTTAAACAGGATTAAAATCTTGTTCGACAATGTACATGTACGAAATGGTGACCAGCCAAAAATTCGCCGATTACTAATTTAGTTGGCGCGCGATAATATTATGCTGCAAGACAAAGATTTTGTTGTTGCGGCTAAGTAACAGCCATTCTACCTCTTTTTAATGTTGTATGGGATTTTTTTGTCTGTACGGGCAAAAAAACGTTTTTTCTATTTCTACTTCTTTTGGTGTTACCTCGCCGACAAAAAGCATCCGAAAGTGCTCGTCACTTGACCGAGTAAGCGTTGAACAATCGATTCGTTACCATGTCGTGCCAAAACAAAATCTTATGTGCACATCACGTTTTCGATGATGACGTTAGATTTTTTGGATTGTTACATTATGCAACCAGAAAATTTTTTTTAGGGCGTCGTATTCAACTAGGAAATATATGCGGGGGTACACTACATTGGGAGCGGTACAGATAACATAAGAGGAAAGGAAAGACTGCAAACACCCGATCAAGGGTCCACCAGCTGAACAAACTCAGAATTTCTCTATCTAAATTGAGATTATTGTCACATCTCGAATGTTATGTATCGATTTCCCCATAATTCCTTTATGCGAGACAATGGTGTTTTACCGATGCATTCTATCCTAAATAAAGTTTAGTTCATGTTAACTCTGCTGTTGTTTTTCCAATTTTGGTAATTATTATTATTATTTATGATTTTTATATGTCAATTCTTCAACATCTTTATTACATGATGATGACCAGAAACAACAATACACTCCATTGTTGTGAATTATTTTTCTGCCATCCCAACTAAACAGCAACAAACACTAAATTCCATCAAATATAGATAGACAAATCCTGTAATAATTTTTAATAGTCGTCGTCCTCGTCGTCGTTGTCGTCATCATCATCGTCATCGTCATCGTCAATCCAGTTTTCTCCTTTTTAACATCATCATCGCAATAAACGTCATCGTCCGGGAAGTTGAGTGAGGGTAAATGAGACCGAGGGGTTTTTTTCAGTGATATTCTTGGCGAAGGCTGACAACGTTTGGCCGGATGGTAAGATTTTAAAGTTTGCCAATAAGAATGTAGTATTTTTTTTTCATTTTATAGAATAATGTAGCGGTAGTATAGAATTGAATTCTGCATATTCTGCATCATTTATTGGCCGGTGAATGTTCGGTTAACAGATTAAATATGCAATCGTCAGCCATCAGCCTTCTTTTTTATGTGAACACAAAGTACTGTGATAAATAAATAAATAAACAAATAAATAATTAGTTAACGATGTAAATGAGGCATTGTGGGGTTAGATAATAAACAGTAGTTCTATAATAACGATAATATCCAAAATGGTAGATTAAATCTTCGCCAATATATTTATATTTGGAGTCTTCGCTAGCTAAAAACTTTTTTTTTTCTTCAACAAAATAAAAAATAATCAAATCTACCTTGAACAGTTGCTTGCATCAAATACTCACCATCGGCGCTTATTCTCATTAATATTATTAAATATTCATATTAATATTAATATTAATCTTAATCTTATTATTATTTACTCTTGTTATTATTATCCGTCAGCCAGTTAGTGAGTGAGAAGTATCTTTCCTCTTTCTCTTTTCTCTTTTCTTTGTATTATAGTCAATTCTGTATATTATTTATTATGATTATTATAAAATAATTTAATTTAATAATAATAATAGTTTTTTCGTTAATAAATATAAATATTACATTTGCTATCTTTTCTTTGGCAACACGTCCGCTTTTATCGTACAATATACTATTCCATCTTCATCATTACCATCATTATATCCTCCGACTCTTTTGTGACCCGCGAGGCGTTTGATAAACAACACTTGCCCTTCCTTGGTCACAATAATATCTTTAATTCCAAGATATTAAAATAACCACCACAACAATTTCATTTATAACAATAGTCATCCCGTGTACATTTAAACTACTCTAATATAAAAAACTTTCTTTTTGTTCTCACATTATCATCGTCATCCATAAATACTCCCCTAGTTCACGTCCAAGATTCCATCCATATCATATCAAACAAGGATTAATTTATAAATAAAGGACACAAATATTTTGTATTATTATTATCCTTTCTTAACGACACTTGTAATATATATCTCTCTCTCTATCTATATATATCTATATATATATATATATATCCTTAATATATCTTTTCACGTAACGTTTCGGGTTTAATTTTATCATCATATCAATCAAAGACAATCTAACGAAATGACTGAATATCTCAAGAAGATGAAGCTCAGCGAAATTGTTGACTGGACCTCAAATAATAGTTTTCGCTCTTCAGCTCAATCGAAAAAGTCGAAATTCCTCCAAACACCTCCTTCTTCTGCACCTTCTTCGCCTGAACTGCCACCTTCAATGTCTCTGGACCAACCAAAGCACTTACAACAAGAATTGGACAGTGGTCGTATCACGCCTCCGGAATCCTCGCATGCTGATAATGAAGCTGCTTTTGCCAATGTGACTCATACTCCACCGACTGGTCGATTATCAGTGACTATTGTCGCTGGTCGCAAACTCAATGTCAGCAATTATCAGGCCAAGCCTTACTGTGTTGTGGAATTCGAGAGAAGCGAATTTGTCACCAGAGAAGCTTTAAGAGACAGTGATCTGTCTTCACACAAAGACGGAAAACAAATGAACTTTATGGATTTGGTTCGTGCGGCTACAAATCCTGTTTGGAATCAAACGGCAACATTGTAAGTTTATTTTTTGTTCTTTTTTTGCATCAATTCTTATCGATCGAATTCAATTCTAATTTTTGAAATATAAAATCATTCAAGTGATGTTGCTCGTATTGATGGCGAACTTCATGTGTCAGTGTACGAACGTGTTCACAATAACAATCACGCGCAAGAAATCTTCCTTGGAATGCTAGCGATTAAACCTCCAAGACGTAATGACAAAGTCATTGATGGCTGGTTCAAGTGAGTAAAATAAATCTTTGCGTCATGTAAAACAATTCGTTTTTCATTGATTAATCCTATTTTAATCTTATTCCTTTAGGCTTACGCCAAGAGGCAAAGGTGAAAATGTAACCGGTGAAATGCACGTTCAGATCTCTTATGAATCCGTCGCTGTAAGCATCATGATGATATATTCGTTTTTGAAATTTGAAGAAATTCAACGAAAATTAACGAAATGAAAATTTCTTGTTCTTAGAAAACACATCTTACACCTGCATCCTTCGAAATTCTTAAACTCATTGGTAAAGGAAATTTCGGCAAGGTATTCCAAGTTCGCAAAAGGGACACTGGTCGAATTTATGCCATGAAGGTGCTTCACAAACAGGATCTGATTGAACGTCGCGAAGTCGAACATACGCTCGCTGAAAAAAACATCTTAATTCAAGCCGAAACTTGTCCTTTCTTGGTTGGTCTAAAATTTTCATTCCAGACTCGTACTCATCTTTATCTGGTGACCGATTTTATGAATGGAGGAGAATTGTTTTGGCATTTACAAAATGAAGTGAGACTTAGTGAAGAAAGAGCGAAATTCTATGCTGCTGAAATCGTCTTGGCATTAGAACATCTCCACAAATATAATATCGTTTACAGGTAATTATTATCATTCATCATGATTAAAGATTATTGATTTATTTTAAATTGCCATTCATTACTAACATATTTTTATGGTTGTCATCAAACAGAGATCTTAAACCCGAAAATATATTACTTGATGCTACAGGGCATATTGCTTTATGTGATTTTGGACTTTGCAAAGAGAATCTTGGGGCTGGCCAAACTACAAACACATTCTGTGGTACATCTGAGTATCTCGCACCTGAGGTTTTGGCCGAATGTGGGTACGGTAAATCAGTCGATTGGTGGAGCTTGGGCATTCTTTTCTACGAAATGATTGCCGGCTTTAGTCCATTCTATACTCATGATACACAAGTTATGTACCGAAGGATCTTGTTCGGAAAACTTAAATTTCCCAAAGGATTATTTAGTGATGAAGCAAAGAGCTTAATCAAAGGGGTATGTTGATCTATTTAATATTTATCTTGTGATGATTTTTGGTTAAAATCTTTACTTATAATTTATCTTTTTTGATTTAAATTTATTAGCTCCTTGCACGTAATCCTCAACACAGACTCGGCACTTATCACGATGCTGAAGAAATCAAAAGTCATCCATTCTTCAATAATATTAATTGGGACGCCTTATATGCAAAGAAAAGTCCACCACCCTTCAAGCCAAATGTCGCCTCTGAAGATGATACATCATGTTTCGACCCGGCTTTCACCGAGGAAGAAATTGATTATCCAAATGTTTCGAAAAATATCAGCAAGAATGGCACAAATGCATCGACCAATAGTGCGTACGAGGCTTCTAATCAGTTCCAAGGATTCACTTATTCTGGTGAAAAAGATGGAACCAATAATACACTTTCTTTGGGATGTGGATTTGAGGTTGGATCTATTGCCGCAGTTCAAGCTGCCGTCAATTCTGGTAATTGGGGAAGTTTGGAAGATATATTACGGTGTTAATCCACCGAATGATATTATCTTCGATAAAAAGAAAGTCAAGAACATTCTGTCGTCCAGAAGGGCGACATAAAATAGAGTAACTAACATTTTTGTACCATATTTTTTTCTCTTTTTTTATTACTATACTTTTTCTTTTTTCTCAAATCCTTGTTTATACTGTACAATTTTTACTTTTTTACTTCATCCTTTTTTCTCTCCCGTCATTCCTTTTTAATTCCTTTAATACTTTTTCCTTTTTTTTTTGTTAATCTATTCGGTTCCTCCCACATTCGCATTCGTTAATGACTTCTTCCCACCAGTCGTACATTATCCGAGCGAACGGTTTTTCTGATACTTATTCGTATGCAATAATAAGCAAGATTGATCGCGTCTTTTTTGTATCATCAGTGGAGTCTTTCGCTGTAGTCTCCCCAGATGATTTATGCTCAATTATTAGGTCAAAACACACACATCAAACAAAAAATTTAAAGATTTTTTTTGAGATCCCTCCCCACTCTTATGTAAATTCAATTCTATTATCCGCATGTGTGGATCAAAATGTATATATTTTACTTTTTTTCTTTACTTTTTTCTATGTATAAAATGCCATATGTGCATTACTTATTCCTGCATTTTTTAAGAAGAGGAAAACATTCAAAAGGGGCAAAATTGCATTACATTCGATGTACATTTTCCCTTTTTAACCTCGCAAACTGTTACAAGAGAACAAAAATTCATTTTTTTCATTTTTATTCATAATCATCATTTCATTCTCGTGAATTGCCGGGTTCACAGATTCTTATTCATAACATTTTTTTTTCTACTTCATCAAACTCAAATCTTTGGGAAATTTCCCTTTAAGTGTATATACCGGTATTTATGTTTATAAACAATAAGCTTGATAATTTTCATTTCTTGATACACACTCATCAATGAGACATATAACGCACAAGCAAGTCTCTTTCGTATCTGGATATTCGTCGGCATATACTTTCCATCCTTGAAAATATGTGCATACGCTATCCTTATCACGTTCGAATATGTAATCACGTTTTTCGCGAGGCGTTGTATTACACAAAAAAAAATTCGCATCGAATATATCTTTATTATACCTTTTTGAAATCAAAATCAAAAATCGAAATTATCTTAATAGTTTGTTTTATATTTTTTAATCTCTCTCTCTCCCTCTTTCTCTCTCATTGTTGTGTACTATCTCAGTTAGTCAATCAGTCAATCAGTCAAGTCAATCAGTTATTTCAGTTACTTTAAAAAAATAGTGTGACCATTATTATATTGTAATTTCATTTTTTATTTTATTTTTATTTTGTTTCAACTCATTTTCGGAATCAATTGAAAAAGAGAATAATGCAATTTTTTTATATTTCTTCAATAAAATTCAATAAAAAGTTAGATAAATCGTGTTTGTTTCAAACTAAATTTGGAGTTTCGGAAGATGTGGGGGAAAATGTAAAGTTTATTGATTAGTGTTGTGATTATATAATGCGGGGTATTATACTTGTTCTATTAGATTTATAACGTCATTCAGGATCAGTACGTCACCGATCAGGAGAAGCTGATATCATTTTGTGTGGGGTTATATATACGAGAAAAACTGGTAAGAATCCAGTCATTAGCGTCATTTTTCTGATGGTAATTTTAAACAAGATGATAGGCATAACACACGCACACGTAAATTTTATTTCAGCTTTGATAATAAATTAGCCATTAATTCCTTTATATTAAAAAATTACATGCAAACTCGTTTTTTATGATCTACAGCATAAGACTATGAAATAAATATTTTATGTTGGTGATGGAGGATGTTCTGCTTCATTACCATCATCACCACTATAATCATCATCATCATCATCATCATCCTCGTGATGATGCTCGTCAAATTCCGCTTTTCTATTAGGTTCTGTATTTGATTCATTTGAAGTGTTTTGATCCACCAACGCATCATTAGAATCATCCTGCATTGCGTGAGTTTCAGCAGCTTCCGATTTTTCGCTCGAATCCGGAGAATTTAATACCGTCAAAGATGATGATTCTCCAGTGGGAGAAATCTTAAGTGCCTTCAAATCTGCGTCGATACTGAACTGGTCATATGAATTATAGAATTGATTACAATCGAAATCCCATGTGCTTATCCATTTTAGACTATTGCAATCGCTTTTTATCCACGGCCGGCCATAAGTCAACGGCGAGAAAAGTCTAAACACGTAGAGTACCATTACGAGATAAATTAAAGCCACCGAAGCACGTTTTCGAGTACTTAATGGGGTGGTGAAGAAATCGAACACTACCCCAAATAAGAGAATTGCAAAGTAAAGAGCTGGAAAGTAGTGGTGAAGAAATAATTGTCGGGACATAAGAATGAACGGGAACCAATGCAAGAACCAGCCAATAAATAGGAAACTGGCGTGAGATTCGTAAAATTCCTTGGTAACTATTATTGATGAGAAAATATGTTATTTGATGCATATTCCCATTGAAATGATCAAAATGATAATCATAATTTCTTACCATTTAGATGATCTAAATATCCTCGCTTAGCTCTCAATAATATAATAATCTCTATGGCAACAAAGATGGCTAAGGCTGCAGTTGAACTCCACCAAATAATCGGGTTTCCTATTAAATAAATATGGTGATGGTCTTGGCCCCAGAAACTAATTCCACGCTTCATCAATAACCACGAAAGTGGACGTGATTCGTACGGATGAGAGTCTGTGAGACCATTATTCGTTGTCCACATTACACGTTGTAATTCAAAGAACTTGCCAAAAAATCCGAGTTTTCGATAATTAACCGTTTCAGCATCAAGTGGCACTGAAGTAAAAAAAATAAATATAATCATTTATTTAATCTGTAACAGAATATTATAACAGGGTCTTTTAATAAAAATATTTACATGTGGGATGTGAATTCGTCTCAATGTACCAAATAGTTTTTGGTACAGAACCTCCTTTTACACAAGTGACTTCTTGTTGCTCAAAACCCCATTCGGGGAGTTTGACACTGTGAGAAAATAGGTAACATCCAGTCAATACATGAACGAGCCGAAATTTGGTATGAAGCGTGCGTAGACGCTCGCCTGATTTCGGATCAGATTTCTCGTGATCAAAGATTTCAACACGCCAAAAATCATTATCATCACCTTCGAAGCCAGGGAAGCCATAGCCACTAGAAATTATCGGACAATTTTTTAATTGATGTATTCAAACATTTTGCAAATTGAAACCGTTAAATTACCTGACTTCATTTTGGTAATCGACATCGGTAACAGGAGGTCTAACTTCATGACTATGCAATCTTTTATTTGTAGTAATGTGTTCTAATCTAATTATCGCACCATTTTCAATCCATATTGGATCTTGCTCGTCGAACGGTATTTCCGGTTTAGTTTTATTATTAATTATCCACAGATTATTTTCATCTTTGTGCGGATATAAGGTTATTTGTTGCTCTTATGAAAGATAATAAAAAAAATCAAAATTAAATTAGGAGCAACAAAAAAATCATCAAAGAAACATTCAAGATTACGTTTGCTTCCTCCAGGATAACTATGGTCATGAGAATGTAAATATCCTCCTTGAGTGTTAAGATGTCTAATTGTGATTTTCGATCCATAAGCAATATCTAAAAAATAATGAAATTAAAATAAAGTAAGAAGAAGATCCTATGCAAATAGCAGTCAATGATTACCTATAGGAGTATCATCCATTCCGTGGCCTCCGATAGTTTGTTGAAATTCAGAACTCATGAATCCATCTCCATCTCCACTATTCGTAAGAATCAGAAAATGAATTGCAAACATAAACATATAGATAACGGTCGGAATCAAAATCAGGCATAGAGCACGGGCTAAAAAATGTTTGGCCCATACTTCCTAAAGAAAATAATCACTTAATATATATTGATTCAGAAATAAAAAGATAAAATACAAAAATAAATCTTACGGGACTAATTCTTAAGTCTCCAAGTAAATCCCATAAACCTTTAATAGTAGATAATCCAATAAGAGCGATTGTAAAAAGACCAACCCATTTTACACTAATAAAAAAAGCTTTAATATTTTTTGCAAAAATAATATAAAGTCGATCTCGAACTAACACACCTTACTGTAAGCCCAAGACCTACTCCAGTCATCGCCATCCAAAACCACCACCAGAAGGAAAATGGCCTTAAATTATGTAAATATTATAGGATTTACTACTGAAAAATTCCAAAGAAATCTACAATCGATAAAATATATTATAATGAATACCTTCGGTAATGATTATGAAAATTCACCCACATCAACACGGTGAATGCGGTAAATAATATTAAGGGAGAATCCAACAATATAAGGCGACTTTGCGCAACTAATCCATTTTCTATTATCATTTTTATAATATATTATTAAACTTGGTAATGAAAAAAAAAATTAATTAAAAAAAATCAATCTTACCAAAAATGAGTAAAGTAGCGACCAATGATGCAGAAATCGTAGAAAATCCTGCTAATTTAATAGTCAAATATGAAATTGGGATAACAAATATCCCAAGTATTCCGGGCATTAATCGCATTGTTACATACGGAACCTTAGGCTCAAGATAATCTCTGCAAAAAAATAAATAAATTATCTATAATTTTTATATTAATAACGCATATAGATACTCACTTTCCGATTTCCTTGAAATCGAAATTTCCATCAAAACCACCAATTACACCGGCAAGCGTAATGAGCAACTTTGCCAATGGTGGATGCACATCCATGAAAAATCTTCCTTTAATGTATTTACTACCACAAGAAGAAAACGTGTGAAATTCGCATATTTATTACCACTTGAACTCGAAATATCATTAAAATATCGCTTAATTTCAATACCTCGCAAATCCACCAAAATGTACTTCGTCAAATCTATTGGCGATAAATCCAAAAATATTTATTATTAACGTATCGCACAGAGAAAATTTATTCGTGCAAAATGTGACAATGTAACCTTTTTGACGCGAATATATTCTCTTTCGAATAAAACGCATATACTTACACTACAGAAGTTGGCTCTGATATTCGATATAAGCGCACAATGGATGCTAATAACATGAGTCCTGCTATTATTCGTGCATCGCGACGAGGCAGACCAAGAACTGTTTTGGTGGATTTTCTATAGGGTTCCTCCTGCAAATCATATATCTGAGTTTCTTGAAAGTCTTTGTATGGGTGTTTTGATTTTCGATATCGAATATCACCGAACGTTAAACTAGTAGTTGTGCCTTGTTCTATCGGTCAAAACATTATATTATATTATATTATGAAATATTGGAATATGGAATAAAGACGCGTGAAAATCATTTAAAGTACCACCTGAATATGGTAAAGAATTTATTACTCCTCTTTCAGTATACTTATTAGACGCCATTTTAAGGACAATGGGTATCGAACTAAGGATTTTTCGGAGTAAAAAAGTTGTATCGGTATGATCTTTCGCGACAAATATCTATGATCGATTTTACTTGGCAATATTTGTTTGGCTTAAATTAACTCGTGATCTTTTTATGGTTTTTCCTTATTAGTTCAATTCTACGATTTACTTTGAATTTGCCATTTTTATTTATATTTTCGATCAACTTTACATAATTAAGGACTTTCCTTCGTATAGGGATTCTCGAATTTTTTCGCACTATGAATATGTAATCGGTTATCCTCGCCGCCTGATAAAATCAGATCTTTTGACCAATCGATACAAAGTAACTTTTTGCGTGATTCATTCGTATCATCACTCACTCGTAAATTATATAAAGGTGATTTACTTCGAATATCCCACATCTTTACACATGAATCATAGGAAGCACTTGCCAGCATGAATGGAGAATTTTTGGACCACGATACAGCCGATACCCAATTCTGATGTGACACTAAAGATAATTTCACGACGGCAACATCTATTTGTTACACACACACATCAGAGTTAATGTTTTGATATGTGAAAACGAAAAAATTACATAATTTCAAAAACCTTCTGCACGAGGATCCCATAATCGAACAGCTCGATCCGCATGTCCAGATGCAATGAGTCCAGATTTTTCCGAGTATGCAATGTCATAAACTACTTGGTCACAATTCTTTAATTTAAAATGTTAAAATTAATTTGTAAACGATTTGATCAACGAAAGCTCCTTATTTGCTTAACTAACCTTAGTATCAACATTGGTTCTCGATTCAATATCCCACGTACGTATTGAATAGTCCCAACCACCGCTATAGAGTTTCGCGGAATCTTTAGTATCGAAAAATACCGAAGACACTGGACCAACATGTCCCATCAATATACCAATTGATTTCTATTTTGAATCATTAAATATTCTCTTTTAGACTTCTTCAAATGATATTTAATCGAGCATTATCAAAAGAAAATTAAGGTTTATCTCTATTTACTTTAGCGATGATAGAATTGGTTTTCTTTTTGCTAATCTTTCTTCTTTTTTTCTCATTCTCGATAAATTCATAATCTGATCCATCCTCATCATCCGGTGTAGTAGTCGTTGTCCAGATTCGAATTGACGAATCCCAAGAACCACTTGAAAACTAATAATTCAAATCGTGAGAAAGAATATTATTAAGCAAAAAATCAATAATAAAATTAGATCGTTAAAATACCAGTTCTTCTTGTTTACTTATGGATATACTCTCGATACTGCCTTTGTGACCTCGATATTCATACAAGACATCACATTGTTTATCGGCAATCGAAGACTAAAACAATTCTTAGAATTTATATAATTTTAATCTTTGCAGTTGAAAATAATATCTCTTACATGCCATGCACGAATAGTGCGATCTTGAGATGCACTTAAACATATGATATCTTCATCTTGTATTGAAACCCACGCGACGCTTTTAATCGGTGCATTATGCCCAACAAAAGTCTGTAAGCACTCGCCAGAAGCGTTCCATATACGCACATTATTATCATATGAACCAGTCAAAAAATATCTAATTCAAAATTAAGTAAGATATCAAAACGATAAACTCAAAATTCCTCATTATTCACCACTCACCCTTGATCATGGCCTTTCACCGAGCTTACCCAATCATCATGTTGATAAGCAGATAAAGAAGTAGGAGGAAGCATAGACTCCACATATTCGAGGGTGATTATATTTTCCTAAATTATCAACAAAAATATTCACGTTTGAATTTTCTAATAAAAAAAAACAAACATCAATCAATCAATCAATCAACCGATCGATCGTACTGTGGATAATCGAGCATTTTGTAAATACTCTGATAAACTCGTTCGTAGAAATTCCCCATCAACGAGAAAATCAAAAGGAATCGGTTTTTCTACGGATTAAAAGGTTCATGTATATTAAATACATATTAAGGCAAAACGATTACAGTCAAACCCCTCTATAAGCACCCCCCTCTATAGTCATATCATATAAAAATCAAGAACCAGTTATAATAAAAGCACCTTGCTATAAGCACATTCATTATAAAACCCTGCTATGAAAAAAATTACTATTGGTACTTATTATTTACCATAGCCTAACAAGTGGTTAATAATTTCTGATAGACCATAACGACGTAATTTCGCTGGAACAAGGATAGCTGAGTCAGCAACAGCATATTTTCGCTGCTGAGTGACAAATTTTACTTGTATCTGAGGTTCATTTTCAATATCTGGCTCCATTTTTTGATGATTTTTTTTTTCGATTCAATTTATATAAATTTAATTTGATTGGTTTACTTTTATTGCTTAAAAAGGAGAAGAGTATACAGTATATCGATATCGTTGAAAATTAAAGATATTAATAATAAATATATAATTTATTCAACTATTACAATGATACAGTTCGTAGCATTCCATTTTCATGATTTTGGAATGTCTGTCTCTTTTTCTGAGCAGCCATAAATGCCGCACGCATTTTGAAATAATCCTTGTGCAAACCGCATTCAGTTTTTTGTTTCCCTTCCCATCTGCCACTCCTTTCGCTAGATGAGTCACTGGTCGGTTTGGTACTATGCCAATCGCCAATCGATCGATATCCTTGTTCCAATAATGGATTATACGGAACCTGCAGGTGAAGAATAAATTTAGTTAAAAGGATCAACAAATTTGTAATCCAATGCAATGATGATGATGATGATGATGATGATGTAATATATACCTCATTGGCTCTGATATACGTCCAAACTCGATTGAAATCCCAATTTGCCAAAGGATTCAACTTTAGCAGACCAGTTCCTTTTTCTTTCTCTAAAATATTTATATTTTCTCGTTCCCCGCGTTGACTTCGTCTTCGCCCCGTTATCACTGTCTTTACGCCCAACTGTTCATAAGCCCTTCGTGACGGTTCTACTTTCACTAAATAATCGTAACTATCTTCGTTGGTTTCCCATAACCTTTGTCCATAGCGACTTTCAAAATCTTTGGCAGTATCACAAGCGAGCGGTTTAAAGGTATATAACGGTGCATTATAGTGAGAAGCTGCTCGACCTGCGAGTGCGACAGTTTCAGGAAAATGATATAGCGTATCAAGGAAGATTGCTGGGACTAAATGCTTAGGTTTGTTTCCTTTTTTAATTCCTTTTTCCAGACTGATTTTGGATATCATGTCAAGAGAAACTAAGCCTATTTTTTCCAAGGAGATAAATCAATATCTTGATAGTTATTCATTTATTTACTATGATCAAAGCTAAATACCAACCTGTAAGTCCAAAAGCCGTTGTTTGATATAGACCTGGTAGATATTCAATAGCCCATTCCAATATTTCTTGAGGAGATAATTTCGCTAGTTGTTCATTATAGTATTTGAGATTATCATCAGAGAAATTAAGGCTCTTCGGTCTAGAGGACCTGTTAGGCAACATTTTTGATTTCATTTCAAAAAAAAGTCGTTGGTTATTAAAACTTATGTCGAAGAATTATCACAACGAAAGAGTTTTTTTTTTTTTGTATTGTGAAAACTCATCAGCATGCCGTTATATAGTTCTGTTATTCGATTTTTTTTCGTTATCTGTACTGTATTTCGATATACGGCCAATGAAATCTCTTCGTGATGGCGTCAAACTCGAGAAAAGTGGTGATTTAGTATTTAGATTCAATCTCAAAAAGGTAAGATCATATACATGCAGTGATACACGTGTGTTGCATATTAATTAGTAATGGTTATGGCGTATACAAACATTTAGTATCAGTCTTTTTGTCTCTGACAAACTGACAAACAAGTGTTTATGCACATTAACTTCTAATTTTAATACATTGTCTATGTCAGAAGATTAATAATCCAAATCATGCCTATCATACATATACTTGTGAATATATTTATCTGGAATTCAACCGAGGTCTTTTTGACCAAAGTATCTTCTTACAATCGTGATAAAAATATTGATAGATGGGAGTTCTAGATCATCTTGATTCCGCTAGGGAAGACAGAATAAATCAATATACAGAGTAAAAAAAGGTTACTTAAATCTAATACTAGAGAAATACCATTGATCTCCTAATTTCAATGCATTTTCGACATAATTCTCTTAAAGTCGATATTTGATCCGGCATCAATAATTGGTCAACGCGTAGAAACAAGGCAAATATCCATCTGGATTGCTCCTTGGTAATTCCGGTAATGTTGAGCCATTTGGCGTGGTAAGAGAGTAAGGTTAGAGTAGTTTGCTACTTTATTGAAATAGTTGTCATTAGCTAGAGATTGATCTATAAAAATAAAAGAACCACTTTATTTTCTTCTGACCTGATCTAATCGAGATATAATACTCAAAGATGGAAGGTTGCCACTCTCTTTTATATTTGCTTCTTGATTTCCGATTTCATTTACAATTTTCAATTGTTTCTGCGTTGGCAAATCGACCCCATAACAAAACTTGTACCAATCAGCTTCCGCGCGCCACTTGGGCAAACGAATGCCGGGTGATAGAGGAAATCGGTTGAAATTTTTGGATATACATAGTCGCAATGCCTCGGAAACATTAAAAATTTTTGATTTTATCAATCAGCTCTCAGGCGGGTTTGCGAATATCTTGCGACTAACCTTTCGCAGCTTCTCGAACTTATTTATAAATAAAATTTCCCATTCTTCCCGTGGTAATAATTTCTCGATTTCTAAACTGCTGCTTTTCAAGACATTTCCTGCTTCCCAGCCACGCTTCACCCATTCGGCTGCCTTTTTTTTAGTGTTATGCAAGGGTGTTTGTGACGCGGTAAAAACATAGGGTGTCTTTATAGCTTCTTGTCTCACCATTCGTAAATATTCCTCTCCAGAGCTAGGAGGTTTATTTACATGTTTAATAGGAAGCTCTGAAACTGGTAAGGACTGGACGAAAAGCTCCTCGTCCCCTTCTAATTTCTTGTCACTTTCTGAGACTAAAATTACATTTCCCAAAGACATTTTTAGAGATCTAAATTTTGTGAGACACTGATAGCAGATATTAGTTATAAGATTAACGTTAATGCCATCGTTTCACACTTTTTCCATTTCCGCCATTGTGACGAAAAAAGTCTTTACCCCATCACGAAAAACTAATTGCCATTATCAGATTTATTTTTTATTGAAAAAGTAAGCAATAAAGTTATCATAATTAATACCATTAATAAAAAATTTGTGGAAAGTATATATGGCCTTTTACTTGTACTTATTAATAATTCAAATGACGAAAGTATATATGGCCTTTTACTTGAACTTATTAATAATTCAAATGACGAAATACATACATATACTCTCCCCATTTTTGAAAGTAGCTTTTCATAAAATGCTTATATTTTATGTACCCTTATAAAAGTATTTTTAAAGTAATTGTATATAAAATTTCATGTAAAATCATCACCTTCTTTCTTGTGGGTATATTTGAACAATTACTTAGTAAAGAACAAGATACAGATGGAAAAAAATAACAAGCCCGCGAAAGTTTTTCGAATTAATAATTTTTATAATGTATTGAAATAATTTAATTGTTGTTCATGACATCTGTAAAGATAATCATACACCGGAGGTTTAGCATCTACATTTCTAGTATTAATAAGAAAAATCGAGTTTTTATTAGAACTAAAGTCTTAATTAATATCCTGAAAAATCTACTGCTACGGTTCCAAATTAAACTATTAAAACATTTCAAAATTTAATTTAGTTGATCGATATCAATTTTTAGTCCATCGTATGCTGGTCTAACCCAAAGATCGGGTTCTTTTTCTTGCAAATTTTCCATTTCCCTTTCCAAATCGTAATGTTCAATATCGTGTGAAAATCCTACAAGATAGGTTCGTTTGGGTTTTGGACAAAAATCTCGCGTGGTTTCCACAGCTTGGTCTATTGAGAAATGAGAATTATGCTTTTTACCTAAAAAGAAAATTTAGGATATATATAAAACATAGAATAAAACACCAAGTAAAAAAAAAGATCATAACTTACGATTTAACGCGTCCAAGATGACAAGTTCACTTCCCTTTATTTTTTCTCTTGTTTGTTCAGGTATAAAATTACAATCAGAGATATATGTTACATTATCAAAACGAAATCCAAGATTGATGAAGGGTTCTTTGTTCGCGAAATTAATTCCGTGATGTACTATTTTAAAATGTTTGTGAAATCTGGTAAGCCGACTATTCTTTATTAAATTAGAATGGGTCAGATCCGAATTTGAGTAAATACCTGGCAATGGTATAAATTCTAGTCCTTCAACAATAAAAGGGGTACGCGAATCTATTGTATTAAATTGAAACGAGGGAAGATCACCACCACCTAACATATATTAACGTAATTATGGGTTAATATAGATAAAAAAAAAGCATGTATTATCAAATAAAATTGTCACCAGTTGCCATAGACTGATCCACAATATAGGGAAACGTTTGCTCGAGCGTCGTCTTAGTATCGCTACTCAAATAAATTGGAATGTATTCTTGAATTGCTTTATTAAGTGTCCATGCACGTAAGTCATCCAACCCATTGATCGCGTCAGCGTGAGGGTGTGTCAGTACTAACGCGTCGATATGACGTAACTTATGATGAGGAAACCATTTTAGAGTTGATACTATAAAGGATTTATTCGAGTGAGATAAATTTTTAATATATAATAAAAATAAATTTATTCACCATAAAATGTTTTCCCACAATCTATGACGATGTTTCTGGATTTACCAGGTAGATAGAAAATGAATCAATCATTCCAAAAATTGCATTCCTTAATTTCGTATTTTAAAAATAAATTCACCTCAATCGTCCATCAGGATTATCTACACGGACTAATAGACTCGTATTTCTACGAACGTTCACCTGTCCTCTTTCGCTAAGAGTTGATATACATGTCTTACAGGTTTGTTCAGGAGCTGTCAAACAATTGATGGTAGGTACGCCGGATGAGGTTCCTTAGAGAAATATAGTAGTTAGAACTTGACTCTCAATTGGACCAAATATTAAAGTGTCCATTTTGTGAGTTACCTGTCCCAAGAAAAATAATTTCTTTTACTCTGTTCAGGCTCATTTTGTATTACTAGCAGAACAGAAAACTCCATTCTTTACAATATAGAACCATAAGTTTTTGGTGTGTCAAATCGATCAACAGTAATTGTACGTGATCTGTATTTATCGTTATTAACAGAAATTTTCTAGATTAGGGTTAGCAATATTTTTTTTATCTTTGAATTTTTATCTGAATTTTTTATCTTCAATAAAATACACAATGGTAGGTTATTTAATTGTATCTTTGCTTCAAGAACATCTTCAAGCTCGAAAAACTTGTGATTTATTATGCAAAGTTAATGGATGGATCCATCCAATGTAAAGAAATCAAAATTTTCATCGAATTTATTATTATACTAATGTAGTCGAAAGGCAAAAAGAAAGTTAAAGTAGAAGAAAATATCTCACTCGGACCGCAGGTCCGGGAAGGTGAAGACGTTTTTGGGGTTGCTCACATTTTTGCCTCTTTTAATGACACGTTTGTCCATGTTACGGATTTATCTGGACGGGAAACCATTGTTCGAGTTACTGGTATGTTTAACGTATTTATTATAATAGATTGAATTTTTTTAATTGTGTTTGGCGACTTTGATATCTTTACGTATGGGATTTCTAGTTTATTCTTGGTATCGCTTTTTTACATTTCCAAAAAGGTTTGGGATATATATCCGTAAACTGGCCGAAAAAATAGGCTTTATGAAAACCAATTATTTTTCAAAAATAATTGATAATCTTATCAAAATTAGAGTAATTCATTGGGACTAGTGGTGAAACACATAATCTCAATATAAACTCTTCGACTGATATAGTTATTTGTTTCTCTTTCATTGTGATTGTATGTTTTTTCTGTCGATTATGGCATCTTAGGTGGAATGAAAGTAAAAGCCGATCGTGATGAATCTTCACCTTACGCTGCAATGTTGGCTGCACAAGACGTGGCTGCCAAATGTAAAGAATTGGGGATCAATGCTTTACACATCAGACTTCGTGCAACCGGTGGTAATGGAACAAAGACACCAGGACCGGGGGCTCAATCTGCCTTAAGGGCCTTGGCTAGAGCTGGTATGAAAATTGGACGAATCGAAGATGTCACACCTATTCCAACGGATTGTAGTACGTATTTTTTTCTAATTTGATTCGTCATTAACACCGAGATTGCTTGTTAAATTTAACACCATTTTATGTATTTTTCCAATAAAATCTAGCTCGCAGGAAGGGTGGACGAAGAGGAAGACGTTTATAGAAAATCGAGTACATTTCTTATTTACATTATGTATATCAATAAATTCAATTAATGGCAACGACTTTGCATAAATGCGGAATGTCTGAAAATAAAAAATGATATTATTTATATGTAGTATATATAATGTTATGAAATTAATTTAATATAGAAGTCGAACAAACTTTATTCATAAGTCTTGAAGATATCAAGAACTTGCAGCATTTACGTAAACTTGGTCTTGTGCTGTGAACTGATAGATACCTTCCTCAAATGGTCAATAATTAGTACAATAAAATGCCCAGACCAGCCTTCATGTGCATAATTCTACCAGCTTGTGATGGCGAACATTTTCCAAAAACAGCTGTTCATGAGCTTGAAGTCTTTCTTGAAGTCGTTCTTTCGAAGCTCGGTGTTGAGATCAATGAACTTCATTCAGAAAGATGGTTTGAACTATAGCACCCGATGAATCCTACCGCAACTCAAGACAGACAGCTGGATATTTCGATAACGCAAGACATACTTTTCTCATCTCAAAGATTCGGAACGAGTTTTTCCATTGATACATATATTTCACCGTCTTGTATGATCTCCGGTAGGGATTTAAATCTTCACACGCTATCACTATAACTGTTGTAGCTCCAAGAAGCAATCGAAAAAGGTCGAGAATTCGCTCAAGAAAATCTGGGATCCCCCACTGTCAGTATGGCTCATAGCCCAAGAGTAAATATCATTAGCATCGAGATACGTAATCCAGGCCTTGGCCCTACTAGAGTCGATTCGCTCATGAAAGTCGACTACTAATCTTGCAGATTCCGTCTCAAAGTGCCCTTTTGATGAATAAGTACATATCAATTTATTCGTACGCTTTCGCAAGAAACAAGTTGTATGCAGTTTGTTCCTGTGTTAATCATCCTTTCTTGAAGAATACAGTCAAAGTTCTTTACAACGGCCGCATTGGATTGGCACTTTGAGCCGGTATATAGTGCTTATATTATAAACTTCGGTATATAGGGAATTTTTAAATAGTTAAAAATCGTAAAATCGGGATATCAATACGGTATAAGCCGAATCAGATGTATACAGCACCGTTGTAAAGGACTTTGACTGTATGTTTCTCGTTTTCAATAGTAACCTATAGTTATTTCCTTCTTTACGTTGGTTCTGGTTCTGACGATAACAAAAAAGAAAAAAATATGTTCGATCAGATCATCAGAAGGACGACTAACAGTTGTATGTGGATAACCGCAATTATCTAACAGATTATTGCGGAGGACATTTCTCATACTTGCCTTTAATGTTTGTTAGCTTTCTCAACTTTTGTGGTGTTAGAGATCGCGCGAAGGCTTTTTACGAGTACGTCTACAGACTTGCTATATGTAAAGTACTTAGAGTTCTCTTCGTAAACACGAATCCAATTTTTATGAAACTTGTAAGCAGACCAAGCCTTAACATCGATTTCGTCAAAGTATGAGAGCCACAATTTGGTCATTGTAAGTGTTAAAGAAAGTAACACTAAAGAGTTATCTTAAAGAGAACGCGTCGCATTCAAAAAATGATGATAATCACGTGTCATCAATTGAATCTCGAATCCCTACTTCTGCTGGATTTTGTGGAATCCATGAGATACAATAAGGATCGAAACAATAACTATATAGAAGTGACTCGCATAAATAACGAAAGATCCGACAGATAAAATAAGCAATAAAAATCGAACAACCATTTTATTATTTCCAATTATCTGTAATACTTGTTAATTCTCCTAAATACTAAAAATAATTATTTTTATCATTTCATATAATCCTCTTTCACTTTGATCACATAATTAATTCTTTCTGTCAATAAAACAACTTCGTCTGAAAATATAATCGAAGAAAATACTGTTGATCATGACGATGAATGCAAGTCTGACGCGACTTTAGAGTTTCGGGAAAAAGGTAATTTAATATTAATTACATACAATTCATGTTATTGTAAATAAATAAAGATCCTTCTATTAAATGATTCAATATGAATAGTGGATTTAGGAATCGCGAGACCACGCAACGAATCAAAAGAGAAAAAGAAGGAAAGAAAAGAAGCGATTAAAATTGAGAGAAGGGTAAATATGATAGAATAATAGTTATTTATTTGGTCTAATAATTAACTATATCCTTATCCTATTTAAATCTCGGTTATGATTAAATTTTTAGAACCGTCGATCAGATAAAAAATCATTAAAACAAGCATTTGCTAAAGAGAAATCCAAACAAAACTATAATGCGCAAATTCGGCAAAATAATTTTGTGGGTGCTATGCATTTGGAATGATTAGTTGTTATAATAGGCAAAAAAAATTTTGTCTATTCACAAACATATTTGTATCTCAAAATGAGATGAAATAAATTACTTTAGCGTACAACAATTTTTTTCCAAATGAGTAATATTAAATACTATCATATTATTTAATATTTATTTTTCTTTAGATAACTCTTGCCCGATATTGTAATTAGATATCTAAATTTGGAATGCACAAATTTAGTATTTATAATAAATAGATTGATTTTCAATTTTATAAAAATTACCTTATCCCAATCCAATTTGTTTCGTGTTAAAGGAAGTGCACGTCTCAAACTTTTGAATGTATTGTCGGAAAGATCCGCATAAGCTTCGATTAATGAAGCCTGAAATTCATTTTCTGCTTTTCCGATTTGCTTTAGATATGCGGCGGCTGCTGATGCATGTTTCTACAACAAATCAATAAAGAAATAAGGCATCAACCAATCACATATTCGTCCAAGTCATTATGAGCACATACATCAAAATTCGTATTTGTTGTTAACTCAAAATCCTTATTACAATTCAATTGAACATTCCCATCTTCGTAATAGTGTACGTTAGCTTTGACATTTCCTTTGATTTCGCCCGAATCTGGTGAAATAAACCAAGTAGAGCGCCATCGACCATTCCTTCAAACCCAAATTCAAAACCTACTAATTAGTTTTTTGATAATAATCGAATTTAACCCTCTCTAATAACCAATTACTTGCCAGAAATTATCACTGTTATATTTATTGTCGACAATAACTATTGTTAACTTTTGATCCTTGGAGTAAACAGCTGAAACACCTTTTGGATAGTGATCAATAACGTAACCCTCGACAGCCGTTTCTAGTGCAGCTCTATGTTTTGTTATTATTCAAATAAGAAGTGAAAAAATCTGCAAAACCATAATTGGTTGTAAATTATAAAAACTAAGATTTACCTTAATGGTTCGGTTTCTTCATCTGGTTCGAGTGCTTCAACGAGGGTTGCTTCCTATATAAAAAAATTTTTTTATATGATAATAATTCATGAATTGGAAATCTATAAGTCTTACTGGACGCAGATGATTAAATCGGAAAATTTGACGTGACTTTGGATCAATGAAAAGATCACTCTCTAATTGTCCATATTTTGAAATGATTACCTAAATTAATAATCAATTATATGTGTTATTCGTTAATGAATCATAAAACTTAAGGAAAACTGTACAGATCAAATAAAATACTTCATGTTTTTGTTCAGGCAGTTTCACTGTTATGTATTGCTCTGTATTATACTCTTCTAGAGTAGATAATATTCCTTCTTCAAAAGCGGCATCATCACTCATCAATGTTTGTAGATCTGAAGAATTACAAATATGCAAGAATTCATTAATTTATTTATTATTCGTTATGAATTTTTCTTGGATATACATTCATTTATTTAACCCACCAGTAATTACATCGGTGATTTCACCAGGAGGACTATCAAGCAAGAAACCGTTAACAATTTTTATTTTTTCTTCTAAAGGCAACTCTTTTGTTAGAATAATATCGTCTTCCATTTTGCTTATTGAAAATATGAATACTCCCAAAGGTATAAAGTTACTGATATTGTGCTACCTGCCATGATTGATATACAGTGGCCCGCATAAATAACGCACCACTTGCATCGCTGATCATCAATCACTTGATTTGCAGCTCAGCTCACCCAGCGTCGCCAACAAAAATTCACGTGAGCGTGAGCGTTATGTGGCGTAAACCAATAAGGATGTGCAATTTTTGCTCAACCCGGCAAAAAAAATCTAACGCAAGAAAATAAAAAAAGAAAAATGAGTACAATATTATATAAATATGAGAAATTACTGATCTATGATTTCACAATTATTATTTTAATAAATCTTTCAATATTTGAAACAATGGGTTTTTTTATTATAATATTTGCCATTATTCTATTCATTCTCTATATTTTTTCTTATACTTTCTTTTTTATAATATTTATTATATATAGAACAGAATACTGAATTATTAAAATTAAAATTGACTTTTTTGAGCTCTAAATAATGCATTTTTTTTAAAAATAAAGTCTTTATCTCAAAAAAGTCAAAGTCTTGTAACAGATTTTTTTCAGTTTCATTTTTATAACTTTTATATAAAATATCATGATACTTATTGATCAATGAACTTGATAAATTAATTAATTTAATGTGCTATTTGAAATAGTTATCAATTAATGTTTTCTCATTAAAAGCAATTACAAAGTGGCTATATAAATAAAATATGTTATTATTTTATATAAATATAAATTAATTTAAATTTGTTTATTAAATATTATACACTAATCTATAATAAATCACTATGCATATAAAAATTTTGATAATAAAATCTAGTAAAAATTGAAATTTTTGCTCTATAAAAAAGATTTTATTTTAATTAATAAATATTTTTTGTTTTTTATATTCAAATAAAGCTAAGAATCTATATTTTAATATATATATTTTGTGAATTTTTTAGATTTTATTTCATAAAATTCTTCTTATTGTAAAATATTTGCAAAAAATTTTTATAATTAAGTTTAAATTTTAATTATGAAAAATTTTTGTGGATATTTTACAATTAAAAGAATTTCATAAAATAAAATCTAAAAAATTTATAAAAAATATATATTAAAATATAAATTTTTAGCTTTATTTGAATATGAAAACGAAAAGTATTTATTAATTAAAATAAAATCTTCTTTACAAAGCAAAAATTTCAATTTTTACTAAATTTTACTATTAAAATTTTTATATACATAATAATTTATCATAAGTTAGTATAAAAAATAATAAATTTAATTTTTTTAGTATTATATAATTTTAATCTTTATTACAAATATTGAAAAGATAATTATGCAAAATAAAATTTAGCTTTATATTTATCTTTTATAAATTTTTTATTATATTTTATCTTGTATAATGATATAATATTTTATCAGTAATTTTATAATAATCAATATTTTCACTATTAAATTAATTATATAGATTAGAATATTATTCTAATATTTTGTCATGAAAATTAATATAATATAAACAATAATTAAATTGAATAATATATTTATTTAGTTTTCAATAAGACTTTTTTGATAATAAATTTCAAGAAAAATAATAAATTAATATTAACTTTTGAAGTAAAAGAATCTAAAACTTGAAATATGGATAATTTAATTATCTTGATTTATTTTTTGTGAAATGAGTTCTGGTATTTATATAGTAAAAATCATTTCTATATTAACTAACTATATTAAATACATATTGTTATAAATAAAATTTTATAATTTCATAATTCTATAATTTTTTAATTTCTTAATACTTTAAAAATATTTTCAATATTTTATAAATATTATCTTTATTATATTTATTGAATTTAACTAAAATACTTTATCTATTATTTATAGTAGCAATAAAAAAGAATGAAATGCTAAAACAAATTTATTAATAAAATATAGTAAAAATATGAAAAATACGAGTTTTTTTCTTATATAAAAGTTTTCAATTTTACTAATAAATATTTTTTATTTTTATATTAAAATAAAGATAATATCACATATTTTA